AAATCACTTTTATTTAAAATATCATAAAAATAAAATTAAATGAAAAATTAATCATGTTTGAATCACGAAAATGATAAAAAAAACATTATAAATAAATACCTTAATTAAATGCATTAAATATCCTTATAGAAATACAATTTTCATATATAATTGGTATGCATCAAATGACATATATACCCTTTTGGGTCATTTTTAAGATATGATTCGAATAAATGATTGGTTAAGATTCATTCTTTAATTTTTATTTCTTTTAGATAACACTCTTGTTTGAACCTATACATATTCACCAATCTCGTGCTTATGTGTATACATATAGGCTCATTCAAGAAAGAACTGATTAGTTTATGGTAACTGTGAGATCCAATATAAATCACTCGTTTGAGATATTTAAAAATATTTCTTGAATAAGCTAACATGGTAATATAGTTTTTTATTTTTGACAACTAATCAAAATATTTAATTAAATTTTTTAGAAGAAAATATTTAGTTAAAATTAGTTACCTAGTATATCAATTACATAATATACGTTGTATTTTAAAGACGTTTGTGAATCAAAGGGTATCGTAGTGATAACGTTCACAATGTTTCACGTGTATCACAATATATTTTCTTTGTTTTATGAAATGTATAATAGGGTGCATTTTCGTTGTTTTCATTGCTTTACAAAGGGTATCACAGTGAAAGGTATCACAGTGTGTATCTTGTGTTCACATAAGGTTTATCGGAATAAGGTTCGACGAATAAGATTTTCCGGAAAGATGATAGAGGATATTTATAAAATCCTTAAAATACTTTTAATTAATACTTTTAGTTAAAATTACCAAAATTATTAATTTTATAATTTAGACGTTGATTTATGGTTGAGATTGAGTGTTATGGTTATTATATTATATAACATCTTCCCATCTAAGTCTTTAAAAATATCAAATTAAATGTATCAAAATTAACTAATAATATACAAAATAGAAACCAAAATTGCAATTTTACACAACTAGAATGATACTCGCACAATGTAGCGAGATGCATTTCGATTTTAATATTTTATTTTATTATTTGTCTCTGTCGATATATACGGTTTACATGGTTTTGAGAAGGCAATAATATTTTTATTTTTAAATAAAATATAAACTTAAAGATATCATAAAACTTTGGAAAAAAAATATATCGATATTACTATCAAATTAACTATTTAAATATTTTTGTTTTCTAATAATTTTTTTAATTCAATTTTTTTTATACTTTAATTTA